TTCCACCCTTCTGCATGCAGACCCCATCACGTCTAAAGCCGCCTGAGTGGGAGGTCAGCCTCTGAGGCCAAACTTTCCATCTCCTGCTGTCAGGTGAGAGGACAATTAACTGCCCTCTTTGTCTTCCCATATATTAAAACGTCATCGGTGCAATTTACCCCTTCCTGCTAAGTTGTACAACTGTTTCCATCTAAGTGTGTGCACTTACTCTCTCACTCGTATATCAGGGCACAATTGTCAGGTTATTAAGAGAGCTAATGTCAATGCAGCTATGACAAAGTAGTTATTATTTAAATTAACCTCTTGAGAATTTAGCCGACTGTGCCGTAGCATTCTGGACAAAATTCTAGACGTGCAGTTAAACACTGTGAAATGTCTGTGAGTAATGAATGAAACTAGGTAGGGAAACACAGGGAAAAAGATAGATGCTCTAAGAGCCCTCCCTGCTTTGTTCCGGAGTTAGTAAAGCGGAATTTTTATGACAGAAATAAAAATGGAAAGGAAAATATAGTTTAGGATCAGAGATGCTGTAAATCTTATGATTAGTAATATTATTTTATGCTTTCCCAACTATAGAAATTGTATTACTTACTTAATCAAATAAATCAACTCAATAAATGTTGCTATCTGCCACTGTTTTACACCTTTCATTGAAGGTTCCCTGCATGCCTTCAAAACACCTGTGGCAACAATCTCTTGGCAAAAAGTGAAACCAAGACCTCATCTGTGGGAATAATTCAGCTAACATTTATGTAAAAAGAGAGACATAATATAAGGAAATGATGATCATACTTTGTGCAAGTCATCAGTGCAGCCAAAGCAGAATATGTATTCTCTGAGTCAGGTTCAATGCCATTAGTTTTATTTCCAGCTGCAAGTGAACAAAGAGAGCTAACTAGAACAGAAGACATCTGAGAGAAGATCTACGCCACAAGAGCAAGCAGTCCAAGTCCAACAAATCAAAGAGGTTTGTGAGAAATCACAGCTAAAAAGTGGGAAATAAATGTATTTTGGTGATTTTAATAGTTTAAAGCTTCTATTTCTATTCTATGTATACTGTTTCATTTAGAATTAAGGCAGGACATACAGTGATACTGATGTCTACTTTTAAACATATTTCATAGATGCTGTACATGGACATAGCCAAAGGAGTAGTCAGAAGTTTCATCTGAGGCTTTTTTTTCCTACTCTTTTATCCATTCTTTGGCCTTACCTGGTCCCTTCGGCAAACTCCCGTGTATCACATGCACACACTCACCTCTTCACTTCCTGTCAGCTTCATTCCATACAATTTTAAATCATCCTCTGTTATCCTATTTCTCCCAGTGTTAGACGAAATATAAAGCCACTAACCAAATTGTAGTTCTCAGTAATGTAGTTCTCAATTTTCTTTTCCAAACCTCTCTTACTATGATACAGAGCATCTCGCCCCTATTTAGCAGCTGCAGTAATTGCAGAAAATGAAGACTGCCAGGGCAGAGCTACTCTTCAGTGCTAGACCTTAATTAGTATCATTGCTTAAATAATACCTTCTTGAGGTGCTGCTGAAACAGGTTTCTTCCAAGGCTGCTTCTCTGTCAGGAAGATGTTTCAGAGAGAAGACGGATTGAATTAAAATTAAATAAATAAATAAATAAATGTGATCAGGCCCCTCCTTATTTATCTACCCTAATCCTGGCTCTGTAAATCACACCCTTCAGCTAGCAAGACAGTCCCCACAAAGATGTGGTGGCTCTTGAAGTTATCTACAGTACAAAAGAGGTGATGCAAAATAGCCTGAGGTATCTCTTGCTCCTCTTTAGCATGTGTGTCCCAACTTATTTAATCTTGCAGGACAGGAATGAGTTATCTCCTGGGTCACTAAGTACACCAAAATTCCTCATGCCCAAGAACTTACATAGCAATCTATATAATCAATTGCCTCAAAAAAAACATTGCTTATTTCTTTTAAAATATTACCAGGCTCTGCGATTTCACAAATACTTTTTTTTTCTTTTTTCTTTTTTTTTTTTTTGCAAATGCATCAAAGTGTAATACTAAATAATAGTTTTGCAGTGAAGGACTCCTGATGCAATCGTGAAAACTTTCAGGACATGATTTTTTTTTTAAATCAGTATTAATCAGTCTCTCTTTTGATCTTTGTGGAAGCATGAGGAGAAGCAACAGAGTGCAATCAGGATCATACACAGGGCATTATTCTGAAGTCAAATTTAAAGTGCTCGGATAAACCCTTTTATCAATAAGACTGTGAATTATAACTTATTTTAGAGAAGAAGACGTACAGAGAGTGTACACTTTGCTTAAGATCAAGTATACAAAGAAATTTATGGTAATGGTGAGTCACTACTTTGAAATCAGTAATGTCCATTATACAGACTCTAAACTAGAATGATGTCCATATTTCTGTTGAGATTTGAGATGTCAAGAATGTTTATGGTTTAAAAATAACTTTATCTTTATTGTGGAAGTTTTCCAGTGCCAATCAGAATAATTTGATGGTCATGTGCAACAAAGTTGCAAAGATGATATGCAAAAAAAGTAACTAACATGATACAATTACACTGTACAACACAATAGATACTTCTTAACTTGCACCCACTTCTGCAGCATTATTGAAAATCCGTGATCGTGCTGAGTGTGAATGCTCCTAGTACAAGATCAGCACATAAGTAAAATTGATCTGTATAAAAGGCAAATTAGCAGTATTTGTCCTTTCACTTTAAATATGGACATGAATTATTAACTGAAATACCCTTAACCTTATCTTTACTCTTCTGTATGACAACAGCTTTAAGCAAATATTTGGCTACTGCTCTAAACCTCAGATTTAAGTATTACCCGAAAGACATAATCCTAACTGTTCATCAATACATTATTTGCTTAATTTCAATCACAAGGAAAAAATCTTTCTTCAGGTTACCTCTCAGACTGCAAGACTATGTACCATTTATGCAAGTCCAGCATAAAGCTAGAAGATAGATTAATTTCTGTAAACTCACAAAACTATTCTTTTCTTTTTCTGTAGAAACGACATACAAAGTGCTTTAACAGTGATATACTTTGCCTTTTTCCCCAAGAGCCTCAAAATCTGGGAATAGCAAGTGCAGGGACTTAACAGCACATTTTGCTGCCATCTGGGAGACCTGGACTTTAAGAGAGATCTTGGTTCTCCTTTTTTCTTCAGCCAATGAAGACAAAGCATGTGAAAAGGAGGAGGGGGAATCCTGTTTTGAGGCCTGTCTGCTGAGCAATGATGAAAAATAGTTTGAATCCATCAGGAAAACCTACTGAATTATTCAGTTCTTTCTTCTACTTGAGGCAGGTTCACCTCTTCTTTTTACAGCAGTGACACAATTCAGTTGCAAAGAACTCAAGGCAGGGCCTTGATCCCTCTTCCTTGGCAGGTGTTGCCTAACACTTTTTAACATGCCCAGAATAACGGGGCTTTATTGTTGCCACACAAGGAATTGGGAAGCAGAGCCAACTCTGCAGCAATGTGCAGTATGTGACTCTGCTGCAATCTGACCCAAGGCTAATGAGGACCAGAGTCAGGCAGGCAGGAGACGGAAAAAGGGAAGAAGAAGAAAACAGGAAGAAGAAGCAGGGGATGTGACAGCCAAAGGCAGAAGCAAGCGATAAAGGTTCGTGCTGCAGCGGGTATATCAGAGACCCAGAATGAATAAAGAGCAATTGGCTTTCCCCAGCAACCAGGAATCCAGGAAGGATGGAAACTCAGGGCAGGAAGCAGCAGGGAGGGAGCAGAAAGCAGAATAACGAGGGTCCTGACCTGGCAACACCTAAATCAACACGTTATCATGAGCTAGGAGCACCAGCAGAGCCAGGGCCCCGTGGTGGTCTGCGAGGACCCATCAACTCTGCTCCACCGCCACTTTGCTTGACGAGAGCAGATTGTGCCTAAATTTATGCTGTGCTGCATTCCCTGCTACCAAGGGCAAAGTTGGGTGACTGGTGACCTGGTGTCACTCTGCTCATGCCTTCGAGTTTTGCGGGAAGCCTCTTTGCCCCCGTGCTGGATATTCCCTTAGGTTTAAGCATGTGTTGGTGAGCGGGCCGTGATACCTCACCAAATGGCCCAACTTGATGCAGCCTGTGAGCAACACCCAGGAGCAACACAGAAAGGGCCAGATCTTACCCTGTTAGTGTGTGTCACATCAGAGGATTGAAGTAATTACACGGACAATCCCACTTATCTACCCGACGTTACCCAATCAACTCCTACCACATATTGATGAGCTTTTCTCTAATGCTGGCACCAAAGACTTGCACAATACTAAAGCCAGAATTTGCCCTGTTGCTAGCTAGAAAACTGCTTAGTTTTTATTGGTCTTCATTTGCTTATTCTCTTGGTTCATGGTCAGATTTCTGGAAGAAACTGCAAGTCAATTCCACTTCCACAAAAGGATAATGAAAAGATAGATTAATCCATAATATAAGGGACTTTGCCAAATCTAAAGGGCAACTGAAGCATCTCTGATTCGTCCAGAATGGTAAAGGAGCAGGAGATAGGTCAGTAGGTTCCTATGCTACATTCTTCCACTAAAGGTTAAAAAAAGCTTATGAAAAAGTACTTTAAGTCCTTATAAGAAATATGGCAAAAGTTAAATAAATGGGCTGTCTTCTCACAAGACATTATACTGTTCACCACCAAACAGAATGTTAAGAAACCCAAGTTTCTCCCCTGTAGAGGGATAATGATCCCATATCCTTCCATTTATCATAATGAAGAAGCATCTAGAAATTGAGCTACTCTTCAGGTAGGCTCCTCTCCCCACATTAGCATATGATATGCAGCCACAGTCTGCTGGTGCACGCTCTCAGGTTCAAAGGTGGCATATTACAGGTAACTGATATTCTTATAATATATTAAATCTGTTAACTATCATTTCCTGCTTATTGACACAACCTGAAGAAGAAAAATACTTCATAATTGTGAGAAACGTAAAGCTCATAGCTCTCCTTCTGCATAGGCTATTTCCTACCTGAAGGAGGAGGTCAGAGGCTGGCCTGACTCTCTGCTGGAAAAGCACACTTAATGTTCGGTTCTGCTGCTCCAAATCAAAAACTCTCGTTTTCAGCTTTATGCATTCCTCCCTCAGATCCTGCAGCACAAGGAGAAATAGAAAGATTAGAAAGAAGCTAACCGAAGCACTTAAAAAAAGCTTTATGTTATGCCAGAAATCCAGAAGAAACAATTATAAAACTTTTAAAATAGCAAAAATCACAAACATGTGCTACTTCATTTTCTCTAATCATCATAGGATAACATTAAAAAACCTTGAAATGTGAAATATAAGTTACATGAGATATCCCTTTGGAATGTTCCATCAGTATAAAAAGTGACTTTACCAGCAATGTGTTTCATTTTGTAGCCACACTGACACAAAGCAGAGCACAGCAATTAAGATGTGAGCAATTATAAGGAGCACAAGCCGTGGAAAAAGCATAAGCCACATGGTACCAGGTGCAAAGAGGTACTGTGCCTTCAAGGTGCTCTTCTGAATTTGATCTCCTCCCTGCTTTCCCTGGAGTAACTAGCTCAGCCTGACATGTTGTGCAGGGTTTGCATCTTCACCACCACTGCTGGTCACTACAGAGGTGGTCAGGACACAGAAAAACATCCTCTAAATTCAGTTGCAAATATGATCTCAAGTGCCATTTGCAACATGATGTACCAAGAGGCCTTAAATAGTCAATCTGAAGCAGAAAGAGCACGTAAAACCTCTCCATCTTAAGGCATATGACCTTACAGCCTAAACTGAGAGATGTCCATCTTTCAGACAAGGCTCAGCCAGGTTCATGATAAGCAACCCAGTAATGGCCTTCAGATAGGGCAAAAAAAAAAGAAAAAAACACACCCTTATTTCTGACTTCAATATAAGACCTGCTTTTCCTGGCTGCTTAATTCTCTGAGAAAGAGGATTTTGGAGACACAAAGCAAAATCTGACCTTTAGTCTTGCTAAAGAATATGTGCAGTTGTCCACTTTGGAGTATAAGAGCTTCATAAATCAGGATGAGCTGTTTCCTAATAAAGCTTACATAGAAAAACAATCAGCTGTAGCCATTTATATCCTTTTTTTTTTTTTTTAAAGGAATCACCCACTTTTCCACATTTCTTTAAAATCAGGACAGTTGCTACCCTGTGGTATTGCCTAGCTGATTTTACTTTCCACCATATGAAGGTGGAGAAACAGGCCTCTGGATTTCCATATGCTGTCTTGTCAATACCATTATCAACGTAACAACCTAACCATATGAAAAAACAACTCAGAGGTGGAAATTATAGTCAGATAGTCAGATATAGCCTAAATTCTTGCCTAGTGCTGGTCTCCCCTGCAACTAGTACTAAGGTTGTAAGAGATAAACACACAATGGAACAAGTTCATCTTGAAAATTTCAGAAAATTAGAGATATTTTCTTATGTATCAAGCTTTAAGATACTATTAATTAATAGTTACTTTCTCCAGACATTTTCTCATCTTAATACTTAGGTGACTATTAGGCTGTCCAAATTAAATGACTCCAGCCTCCCATCGTGCCAAGAAAAAAGAGCTTGAGTTTGATGTTTTGCGAAAACCTAAAGTTTTAGTTTTGCCAGTGAGACCTCTCTTATCTCTGGTTTTACACATGCAATCTCTATTAGGAAACTACAAGCATCAAGACTCATCGCTATTTACCTTTCACAAACAAGCAGAGATTTTAAAACACAGCCCTGGCTGTTACAACAGCGCCTAACAGTTCAGCCCCACTAAGTGCACTGAAAGGAAAAAATGATTCACGGAAGCTGACAGCGTAGGAAAAAAAATGCAATCTCTGTAACGCCTCCGTGCAAAACTTTCCTATCTTACAGTTTTACAACTGTAAGATTTATGTTTCTCAAACCTTAGACTTTTTGCTAAAACATGAAATATAAGAAAGTAAATTACCAGTCCAACCGCTATAAACTGCAGTGCCAATGGCAACACTGCTCATAGTACTGAGTCAAAAAGTGGAACAATAAGGTAGGAGTATTCTGGTAAAACAAAGTCTGAGCTTGGCATGTTAAAATCCCCAAATTACCCATTAATTGTGACTAGCAAATATCTGAGGCATATAATTCCCCTCCTGTGGGCAAAACAACCAGTTATGAAGAAAATAATCCCATAAATATTTCAAATATTTCTAGGGTCTCACTACAGTAATAACCAAGCATCTTTGTTCTTCCTTCTTCTCTTGAGTATCAGACTTGCACTTTTCCAAAATGGGTCTCAGTGCCAGAGACACTAGAGGCTCCAGAAACACACAGTTTTCCTCTTAATGTGTTTCTCCTGCTTTAAGACTTAGTTAAGTTCTTTTTGTAACTGATGAGGAAGAAAAAGAAATAACTTTCTTGCAGAACCCAGGGAAGCAACCTGATGTTCTCCTGAAAACCCTCCTGCCTCCAAGGTTACCATGCAAAGTGCAGATCCATAGATCATAAAGCAATTTCTTTAAGTGTTGTAACTCAAATTTCAAAATGCTTATCTGGGTCTTATATAGAAGAAAAAAAGAAAAAGAAAACTCTAGTGTTCAGCAGTCCTATCACATTACCTTGGTATGAGAAGTCTTTTGGCAAAGACGGAAAGAATGGAGGTTTCCAGTAAGCATTACAGCATATGGATTTGCCTCAAATATTTTTTTTATCATTTCTTAATGTCTTTGAGGAAAAATTTTCTATTAGTAAGTGGTAGGATGCCCATACAATTTTGCTACATAAAATGGCAAAATTTTGCTGTGTGGCTAATTTAGTACAAATCACAAATTCATATAGTTTCTCCATAACCCCAGTTAAAAAAAAAAAAAAAAGGAATCACTGTCACATTAGGGAAATGTTATACGCATTGTAACAAACGATAAACTTGAAAGCTGCATATTTAGGCCCGTAACTCCATCGCAAGGTTTCCATGACATTGATAAATCCCTCAGGCTTTGCTCACTCAATTTGTGTCACCAGAGCCCCTCAGCGGAACCACAGCCCCTCCGCAGGCTGCCGAGTACACAGCGCTGCACGTGTCGCATCGCACCACGCACTTAATTTAAACAGTAATTAGTCCTTGAGGGACGATGTGGAATCCAAAGCCGGCGCAGGGCGCGTAGCCGCACAGGGCGGCTCGTCCCGGTTTTCGGGAATCTCCCGGCCTTCCCCTCGGCCCACTAGGCCGCAGCGGAGCGTTGTCTCTCCGCGGCGCGGCTGCCTCTGCCTCAGCGCTCAGCTGCGCCGCGGCAGGTTTATCTGTTTACCAGTTACTCGTTGGATTCAGAAACCCAACGCGAGGAGTCCAATTTCCCCTTTTTTGTGCACTATTGTTTGCCTGTCCTTTCTGAAAAAAGAACTCGCGTGATGGGTGTCAAGAGCACTGCAACGGTTAATATTCATCAGCATTTAGAAGAGCACCCTCTTCTTTCTTTCAGTGGATATTAAATTAGCTGCTATTACTCAGTAATAGGTAAGCAGCTGTTAAATCCCATCAATACTTAGTAAATTACTCTATTAAATGTATTCAAATCTGTTTTACTGCATCCATATGAACTCCTTGATTCCTGTGGGTTTGGAAACGTTGATTACTTAGAAGTAAGCAGCCATTAAAATGCCTGATGCCCTTGCAAAGGGATTCAGAAGCTCCTCCCTTCATTGGGAAAGCAACCAGGATATTTCTAAAACAGGTTAATATATTTAGACTAACCCTTGAGCAAATCACATATAGCTTTATATTACAAAATGTGAATCAGCCATTTCTAGATGGAGAAATGCCTCCATTTCCAGTTAGGCTGCATCAAAACATAGGTTTTGGCGGCTTGTATTTTGCTAGCTGACGTTACATTTCGGAAAGGTGTTGCAGCAGTAACTTTGGGGCTGTCAGACCTCAGGCATCCTCAGGCATCAGATGATGCCCAGCGCATAGAGCATGTGTGCATCCAGGTCTGCGTAGAGCAATCCAGGACACGTTCATGTCACAGGGCTTGCACAAATCACCCCATGCCACGATACGCCCAGTGCCATAGGGCAACATCCCTCATACGGAATAAAGGCTCTATGGTGCCATCAAAATAAACCCAAAGGGATGGAATGACCATGGGTTCATCCCTAGCTGTGGCGGCAGCTGTGGAGCTACTAACAGCAGCCCTGGAGCTGCCTCCTCCCGCAGGCTCGTGGGGTGATCCCCAGAGCTCTCCGACCCTCAGCGCTGTCCTCAAACCCAGTGCACACCCACACTTGTTGCGCTGCATCCTAGCTCATCATCAAAAGGTCCCTGCTCAGGATGGTCCTCAGGAGAAGCTGGCCCTTGTGCCCATCTCAGAGGTGTCCTCAAAGGTTTTGGACAGCCTCTTTCAAACATTTATTCCTTTACTTGCCTTTGGAGAGCTTTGGGGCTTGGGGAGGTTGTTTTTGTCTACCTCAATACATAGTTTCAAGGTGCATGTTAAGCCCGTTATTTGTTGTCCTATCATTCAGCATAGGCAAATCTGGCTTTAGTCTTCCTGGCAGTATCCACTCTGGAAGAATGTATTTACATCCCTTTCAGTCTTGTCTTCTTAGTGATCCAAAACATTTTAATAATTCCACATTCATCAAGTGCTCTAGATCTCAAGAAGGATCATTTCATGAATACTGCAGGCTTCATAGCTGATTATAAATCTTTATTGCCTTCTTTATTTTTGCAACAAAATGACATCACTGATTCATGCTCAACTTCAAGATCATTTTTTTTTGTAAAATTGTTGCCCTACTGGTTTTTCCCTACTCTTTACCTGGGTGGTTGATTATTTCTGCTCATAGGTATTCTGCTCATATGTATTATTCCGCTCGTATGCTTCCTTTGGTCTCTCTCAAATCCAACTTTTTTTCCAGATTGCCTTCCTTTTGCCATGATACTTTTAAATTTTACTCCTCCCCTTAGGTTCTATCTGCAAACGCAGTTAACTGCACTATATTCAATCATTTAGAGTGTGAATGAGCACTTCAGACATAACAGACCTTTACGGAAGCCTTAGTGAATCTTCTCTTTTTGACAGATTTGCAACCACCCTGCATGAATTTCATCTACACGATACTTCCCTTGCTTGCCTGTGAGAATGGGTCAGGAGACCATCAAAAGCTTTTTTTAAAAACAGAATATATGATATCTATCACTGCTCCTCAGCCCATAAGTGGAACAGCTAAATTTCTACTCTGGATTCAGTGACTTCTCCTCTACTCAGGTCCACACCATGCAGCCTTTCCTTTCTTTGAATGTCTGAGTGAAAATGTCAACTACTGACTGGGATTTTTCTTTTTATTTTTGTTATCCCACAGGAATGCACTGGGGAGGAGAGAAATAACTCATTATATTTAGGGAATAGAAAACCACCACCTAGGAAGGACTTTCAGACACTGTTTCTTAATGCAGGTGAAAACCAAAAAACGCATATGAGCTCTCTTGGATCAAGCCTTAAAGAAGTACAGCCTCACAGTATTTTATTCACTTGATTTATGAAAAAAATTTCTGAACTGGGGCATGACATGTTGCTGTCTTGTGAAGTAAATGTATAAACATTGTTTGAAAAATATATCCTAAATTAAAATATACATCTAAGTGAACAATAAACACTTGCAAGCTTTAAGTCATACCAAAATACTCAAATCACAACTTACCTTTTGAGTAAGTAGAGCCTGGACAACCTGATTAGCTACCTGAAATAAATAAATAAATAATATAATTTAAATATGTTATCATATATGCTTATGCATGACAATACTGCGCCTTTACTTCTACAATCACCACTAACTTTAGTGTTTTCATTAGATATTTCTAGTAGGAGTATATAAAATTCAAGTAATTGCTTCTATGCTAGTCCTCATTTCAAACCAAACTTCTGTGTCTTATCAATTGCAGTATGACACGACATTCGCTCAACTTCTGTCATCTCTTCTTTGGGCTAGATTAAAATTTCACGGTCCTACATGCAGCTGGTAGGCATCAGCACGGATTGACTGCATTCACTAGAGCTGGCTTTTACCAGCTGAGGACGTAGTCCTGAATGTTTTCATGAAGTTTTATTGCTTCTTGATGCAATATTGACAAAATGCTACATCTATCATGACAAGCAGAAGGCATTAAGTGCCACAGAAAATTAAAGTACCTACTGTCATCAGAAGGTGGTTGGAAGATATTCGCAGCACACAGCATAATTAACTTGAATCAGATTACACCGCATTGATTAGCAGAAGTATATATTCAACAGGGAATTTTTCATGTTATTTATTTTATATAGTTTCTAAATTATACTTGCCAAGGGATGAGAGGAAGAGGAGCTAAGACATTTTTTGTTGTTCTTGCTGATGTCTAAACTGGGTATTTCTTATTAGTACTGCCATAATCTAATGTAATTTAAAACTGTATAAACAAATACTATCATACAATGTGTCTGGCTATATCTTTGCTCTTGAAGGCAGAGCAACCAGAAATCTCATTCCATGCACAAAAAGAAAGTACTTATAATTTCTATGTTTTAGGCTTTCTGAAATTATAGAAAAGCACATAATGATGTCATTTGGAAGTTCAAAACTGCATTGATTCTCCTTAATCTTAGTGAAATAAAAAAAAAGAGACCATTCGAGTGAACTGAACCATAAACAAAGAGCGGAAGCAAACCCATTTCTGCAAATAATTTAGTTCTGTTAGATCCAAAAGTTACATTTGATTCATACGCTCATAATATATATCTTTTTTTCCTCCAAGCTGGTCCACCTTTTTTTTGCCTGTGGAACATTGGTCACATAAAATAGCTCTCTATATGATTTAACAGAAAACACAGACTAATACAACAACAATAATAACCACAGAAATAAGTGTCTAACAGCTTTGGAAAACCATGAGCCTTGCCCTATGGGCTTTCAGAGTTCTGTTTGCTCTACCTGAAAATTGAACAAACCACATGTAATACATTATTTCTTTACTTTCTGACATGCAGCTATTTTACCAAGAAGAGCTAAAAAGTTCTTTTAAGTGGGCACAAGTCACTTGCAACAGAACTGCCTAGAAAAGTATTCTTACAGCTTTATGCATTGCATAGAGGAGTGCAAATGGCATAAACCACCAAATGAAAATAAATACAAAAATAAATAAAGGACTTGCTGATACATAGGGGACAAATTTTAACTTAAGAGTGTATGAAGTTAAGTATCTAAATGAAAGTACCTGCCAGTGGCCCCAGCTCCCATAAATCTCTGTAAGAAAGATATGTAACTAGTTCATTCTAGTGAATCTAGTGAAAGGCAATTTGATAAACTGGGTGTTACCTACTAGTTTGTTAGTGGAATCATATCCAAGCTCCTGCAGTTCAAATAATGTAGCTGTTCCACTCTTACAGCCCTTGCTCGTGTGCAGAAGACAACAAATTGCTAAGCTAGCACACTTGAACCATTTTTATTTACAGGTATCAAGAGACGCTACAGGTATGAACAACCTAAGGCAGCACTACCAAGGTGAGAGTCAAACTACCAAAAATGGGGGAAACGGAGCCCACTGAACGCCAAGGATTGACTACTGGCGTGCAGAACTGGGAAAATTCCCTCTGCTGCCAAGCAGGGAAGAAACAGGCTGCAAAATGACTTGACCTGTGATTCGCACACAAACTCGAGGCAAAACAAGAAGCAGAACAGTGATGTCCCAGAGTCTGCTGGGGGCTTGGAGTGGGTGTCTCTGCTTGCCCTCGCACTGTCTGCCTCCCTTTCAAGTTCAGAGCGAAGATTTTTATGTGAGGCTTCTTTTCGTGGACTACAGTAAAAGAGATAAGAGATCAAGCCTCACTTTTGCTTAACACAACTGCATTTACATATACATGTTATGAAGTAGTCTTAACAGTAAAGCTACAAAAGAATGAATCAGATAAAGGAGATCCTGTTATAACAACTACTATACCTGGTATAAGAACTGAGATTTTACTTAATTCTGTCTTTTAATGTATGATTTCATATGTGCAAAGGCATTTTGCATGTGCTAAAATAAAAGCTTTTATATTTTCTTCACTCTTAAGGGCAGAATGCTTTTTTAAGATGACTTTATGCTTTTCATTAGCTAATTTGATATGTATTTAGTAACGTTGTTGTTTAACACTTAAAACTTCAGCAAAAATACCATCTACCCAAAAGTGCACAATTTCCTGCACATAACTATAGTGAAGCTTGACAGAAATCTGGGTTGGCAAAGTAATGTGAATAAACATGACATTGCCACTTGCCAGTAGACTGACAGTTGAATTCCAGAATAGGAAACTCGGATTAAGCATGTTAACCTCAAACCCCCAAGGCACAATAAGACAATCCTGTTTCTGGCATTAAATTTTCTAGAGACACAAAGATACGGGGTGTTTTTGGAATTAAATGAGTTCTTTCCTTGTTTGTGTAGTACTGGAATATTTCAATGCCACTTTCTTCCAAATATTATTCCAAAGATGCTTATATATACACTTCAGAGATGGCCAATTACTTTAAAAATCAGTGCATATTTATTCAAATTCATAAGGGCACACTTCAGCTAGACCCATATTCTTTTTAGATCTCATCTCCATGAATATTTGAGTTTCACTGAATTTTACCATGAAAATGATCACAGAACATGCATTTTTTAAGCTGCAAGTGCAAGCACTCACATTACAATATTAAATGCGGGGCATGAGCGAGCAAAGAACTGTAACAATAAATGGCTAAAAAGAGATAAAGCAGAGAAATAACGGCAGTCAGGCTTTCAAAAATCAGCTCTAATATCTTTTTGCTGCGCATCGCCAGATGAATCACGGTGGTGATTTTCTCTTCCTTTGCATGGGGGTTAATGGCCATCGCTCTGCGCTTGGGTGAGTGTCCTTATCACACTGCTGAAGAGGCCTTGAGGACCAGGAACGGGGGCCACCAACACGGTGGGCAGTCCCGGTGAGGTTTGCACGCCCTGAGCAGGGCCTTCCTGAGCCAGAGGGGCAGAAGCAGCAACTTGAGGATCTCACAGACGAGTGCAGGAGCTGCAGCCTTCTAGCTCACCAAGTGTCCATCTCAACTTGCATTACCTCCAGAGTCTATTAAATACCCCAAGCACCTATGTGGATGTCTTTCTCAAAGCCTTCTACATTTGGAAAGAGAGGCTGAGCATCAGCTTTGGAGGGTGGCATTCCTTGTGTACCAGCCCAGAAGTTCAATACACTCATTAGTACCTGGACTGAAAAGGCAAAATTAAAATAATGCTTGTCATAGGCATTTAATTCCTTGGTGGCAGGGCTAGCTAGCTCAGGCCTAGTTGTGATCACAGCCTCTTGCTCTGAGGAAGATCCCCGTTCCTTCCTTTAAACCCACCAGGTCTCCTTGGGACAAACGGAGCTGCAGCTCAGCAGGATACAGTTACACAAGGTTCTTCTACAGACTCTTGAAGAAGTCCTTAAGAACAGCCTCAACTAGGAAAGGCCTAAAGAAATTTTCACTTCGGAGAAGTGGGATTTGTGTCAGGTCTGAAGAAAAGAAAGCATCCAACTTAGAGTCTGAAAGGAAAGAAATTTTCAAGTGGAAAAATATTTTTTTTCTCATAAAAATATTCATGAAAGAGATTTTAGTTTCCTAAGATCTCCAGTGAGAATCCCTGCTTGGAAAGGACTTCGTCACATGTGTTACAACCTCAGAAGTCTCTGCTTGGAACTGAAGCTTCTCACAATCATTGCCAGGGCTACTCACTAATTATATATATTCTCATCTCCAATTCTCTTTATTTTTTACTGTAATGAAGTAGGGAAGATCCTTGTTTGGACTTTGAGCATGTGCTTTCCTGTGAAGCTCTCCCAGTGGAAAGTACTCAGGTGGCTGCTAAGGTGAAATTGGGCTGCAGAACTTGTGAATATTAAAATGCATTTTTCTTGCCTTGGGACATTGGACATTGCACACCAAACAGAAGACAAATAAAATAAAATAAAATAAAATAAAATAAAATAAAATAAAATAAAATAAAATAAAATAAAATAAAATAAAATAAAGCAGGACTGCATAAAATAAAATAAAAATAAAATAAAGCAGGACTGCACAAAACCAAATGCCACTGTCACTTCCAAATAAGAAGCACTCCCTCCTGGAAACAAAAGCCGTGATAGCAGCGGAAGACGGATACAGCTGTGATAATATGGAAGAACTGAGAAGAGACAACCCAACAACCGAAGACAATAAAGCTCAGAGGGTAGTTTGAAATAATTATTCATTCTTTGAACTGCAACAGCGTGCATGAAACACTGTCTTGGAACAGAAATCCATCATGTTCCTGCAGACACACAATAACAAATATATCTTCTGTCCTTGTAATCTGTATGGAGTCTGTTTTTTTGGGGCTGACAGTTATCGTGCTTTGCCCATTTTCAAAATGAATTACGTAGGCAGATTCTGTTCAAGATGCTCAGAAAATAGCTTTAAGTTAATTTCCATAATTTAAACTAAAATTAATAATTACTTAATTACATTATAGTTTCATCCCTATACACAGATATATGCAAAGAGATCCAAGAGTGCACTGAAGGGAGTGACTGAGGCCAGCGTTGACCAAGGCTTTGTGAGCAACCCAGCCCCACAGAACACACAGGGCACAAGTCAGTGGGAACTTGTATCTGCTAGGGGTTCATTCCTGCCTCCTGAGGAACGTGTGCTGCACTGACAGGGGTGCAGATCTCCTGACGAGAACCTGCCTAAACTCAGGGCTACTAGTACCACAGATGTATTGATCAGTCCAGTAAAGCCTGAGCAAATGGTCATCAGAAATGTAAAAAACTGCTAATGAAGACATGAAGACATTGCCATCTGCTACATGCAATTTGCACCTTTACACACCTTGTTCTCAAAGGAAGAGCTGGAAGCCAATGTAATGGAGTTGGGTTTGTGCCCTTGTCTAGTTAATTATTTATGCTACTATCAGTAGGGGAAGGGCAACTCTGATCTACTTGAAGTCCATTTCAGGCTCCTGGCTGTACCGGGAAGCCTTATTTCAGGATAAATGGGAGGACTAAGTGAGTCGACATCGAGGAAAAAAACAACACAGAAGTTGGGTATGTTAAGCCTAAGGGGGAGCAGGGAGGCTAAATTCCCTGAATATGGACTACAGTACAGTACGAAGTATGGGGGATTCCCGGCAGTGGGAGCCACTTCCATCCGTGTTCCTCTCTACAGAAAAGTGGAAGTAAACAAAATCAAACAGGTAAGAGATCATTTCCTCCTCCTAAGGAAAAAAACAACAACAACAACAAAAAACCCCAAAAAACGGAAAATTCAAAATACTGCTCACAGTGATACAGATTTTTTGGTGAAGAAGTGAGTCAAAGCAGCATTTCTAGAGGAGGTCATAATACATACAACTTACAGACCTATTTTCTTGGATAACTGCAGAATAATATTAGCCTTGTAAGAGAGGAAGAGATTAATTTCATTCACCATTTCACTGTGGTAGCAGGTAAAGACCCCTTTTCTATTCCCCTTACCTCATCAAGGCATCTTTCATACTGTTCTCGTTGACTTTCATTTTCCAGAGCCAGTGCTGAATTCTCCGCCTACAGTGAAATACAATAAATAAACGTGCAAATTAATCAATGCATATGTTGTGCTGCATGACAGCTAGCTTCGGGGGCATACTTCATGTGCCTCTTTGAGATCCCAAATAAAAATGGATATATAAAATTTATTCTTGCTGCAAGTCGCTGCTTTGAGTAAAAACAGAAGTGACATTAGTTTATGAGATTATTCATAGCATGCATTACAGTTCAGAACAACACAGAAGCAGCTGTGCTAAGCTTGTCTACTACCTAATTTTGTCAGATGTAAGAATATCTGCAAAGAAAGAGCACAGAAGATATTGGTACATCTTTTCTTCCTGGAAGAAGAAAGTGGACTATCTTAAAGTCAGATAATTTCACTCTAGCGTATGTTGGTTCAAATGTGATAAAGTTTTCCCTGTAGTAGTGCCTTTAATCTGTCCTTAATTTTCATGGTAGTCAGATTTTTTGCGTCATGCAAACCTAAAAAATTGGCACAACCTGATACTTAAATTACACAAAACCAGTGTATTTTTGTGTACATTATGGCCTTAGTTTAGGAATACTTGGTGGAAACGGAAATTCTCTGAAGTGCGCTGGACACAAAAGCATCAGGCACACACAGAAGCAAATTTTAGCCAATTTTCTCTTGAAGATGGATAAACTGAAACAATATATAAAAATCTATGATTTAAAACTGGCTCTAGAAACCTCTCTGCCTCCAACGCATCCCTTCACACCACGTAAACATAAATCCGCAATCAATACACTCAGATAATTACAGCTATTACACAATTTACTTCACTTTTACTGTTCCATCAATCTGTAAAAGTTTAACAAATGAGGCTCCAAAAGAACTGTGGTTAAGATAAAGGAGTCATAAATATGGTCAACATTCACAATTCTATAGAAAAAAAAATAATACACTATATGGAAAGATTTCATGGGGAGAACAACCACTACCTCTTCTCTGTTAAGTAATTTCAGTCATCCAACAACGCGAAAATCCTGAAGTCAAATAAATCAATCTACTGATAATAATTTCAAATTCAAGATAAATTGTAAAAATCAGATACTAGGAGGGAGACATACATGTGTTTTGAAAAAGAAAAAACAATGAAGTGGAGCTAAGGAAGAAGGGCAGAGTGCTTACTTATTTACAAGTCTAAATAAACAATGTATAGAATCAATATGATGTCTCGGAGGTACCACCAAGGCCAGCAATGGTGATAAAAACATGTTCTGCAGCATATTTTCCCCAAACCACCCAGCGAGGCGTTCTGCAGGCGCCGAGCCAGTAGCAAAGCAGCAGCAGAAGCCACAGGAGCAGCAGTCAGGAAGGAGAAGCCGGAGGACGGACCGAGGCGGCGCTCGGCCGCGGCTCCCGGCGCGCTGGTTTCTGGAATGCTCTGAGTTGTCAATGGACACTAAGCCATGTTGGGTCTTTTAGCTGAATCTCTGATTTCGGTAAGTTATTCCTAAAGAAATAGGTTACCAAAATTCGGAAACTTATATTTGTCAGCATTATAAATAAAGGTAAATTTTTCTTTTTACCAAGTCATAGTGGAGACCTCTGTACAATATAAGCCTTTTTTCCCACCAGTGGCTTTGAAAGTGTGCTGAAGGGATGTAATACAGTTAATGCTAGCTTGACTTCTGTGCTTCTTGATCACTGACTAAATCATGCCTATTTATTTGGCATTTTTGTAATAGTGACTGCAGAAGAAGAGAACACTTCACTAGCTTCAGTTACGATCGTGTGCCTGTTCCCAAAAGATGGGAAAATGAGTACTTAGTACACTAAATCACTCTATACTGCGACTGAATCCTACATAAATAACACACATTCCCCCGCACAGCATTAATTTGCAAAACTTGTAATAGCATCTGTGGTCTCAAAACCTCATCTCCTAATCCAAACCTTCATCTCTTTAACAGAAACTGCTGCGTTTTGTCATTATACGTCTGCTCCTTTTTTTTTTTCCCTCCAAGGGATCTCTCTACCTCCAGTATTGCACATTCCAGACATCTTCTGCCCGCGAAGCAAAGTAGGCCTATTTAGAAGAAACACTCGGTTACCACTATTATTACCGAGAAAGGTATTTTCTTAGATTCTGTGCTTAGGGATAGTTATCCTCCAGGAATTTACCCACATTCTATGTATCGTGCTCTGCACACAGAAACAAACACAGCCGCCCTGCAGCACCCACCCAGCCAAGCACAGTGCTGCAGATGTGCAGCGCCATCACCACCAAGCTACGGGCAAGCGCCTCCTTTCTTGGGGGTCAGCCCCCAACACACAGTACCCTGTGTTCATCCAAAAAAAACTGCGACATAACTCACCACTAAATGAAACATGACGTGTTGCTTTTGGAGCATTATGGATTCAAGGATCCTACAAATGTCAAAATAGAGGCAATTCCTAGTTCTTATTTGGAAGAAATCATTTTGCAGAAGAGTTTCTGCAAACACTGGAAAATTTAAAGATTTAAATCATGACATGCATAATGCTAAGCAGCTTTCAACTGCCTTAATTAGAGACAACTTTCTTCTAAACTGTGAGACTGTTTATGGAAAATCAATTCTGAAAGTGAACATTTAAGATCTCCCTGTATAAAACAGAGGCTGCCTTGTATCGACACCATTGCCAAGATACAGTCATTATTACAGACTTTGTCAACTGTAACTTTGATTCTTTTCCGGATGGAAAATGCAGCCCTCGTAATGACGATGGTTATCTCTATGCCAGCTAAGAGCTTTCTCTCACCTCTACACTTGGTTAAGAATATTCTGTATTTTCTTTTATGGGGCAGCTATTTGGGCAACTTTCATTTATTTCCCAGGAATGCAAACAGAGGAGGAAAAAAGAAACAAACTGTATAGGTTTCCACTTCAAACAATGTTTCCTCAAAATTAGTTAATGATTATTTGGGGTCAGAGGAAGTTCTTTGGTTCAAAACAATTTGCTGCTCATGGTGCTAGAAGAAATGAGAAGACCTGCTACAGAAGGCAGCCTTAACATCCTTCACATTTTCTAAAATGTGTTCATGTCCTGCATCAGTAAAGCTAGGACAATTCATCACACTTTTCTTTTTAATCTATACAATGGTGATGATACTTAGCACTACGATAGCCTTGACTGAAGGCTAATATCGAAGTGCCTATTGAGTCAGTACAATTAGCTATACTTCAGGTCCTCTGAAGGTGATTTTCACAAGAATTTGAAGTCAAACATGCATCTGAATTATATACTTAATGTGATCATATTTACTCCTCCTTTTTTCAAATTAAACAGCAAAAGAAACTAGAGCTTTTTGTCTCGGAGGAACCAAGCAAACAAAAAACAGTGGGAAGGGCTTTCTCCTCAAAAGTATTCCTTACCTGTAGTGCTGGGTTTACACATTCTGAGCCCAAGATCCTCTCCCTGTCCCGAGTCTGAGAGTCTTTGGGGGCTCAGTCCTCACCTACTACTGATGGAGCGTGGCAACTTCCAGCTAAATATTCACATCAGACTACAGATAGCTGATATCACTCTGAATATACTCTTACATCAATACACAGATTTAGAACAATTTCTTCTCTCTCTCTTGTCTCTTTACGATTCTAGAAATCATTACTCCAGGTGAAGGATCATCTCTGAACTACAATTTCTTCAATATTTATCTACGTGTTTGGTAGAAGAGGCAGACACATTTGTGAAAATGCCAACGGACGTGCATGACTCCATCAGATTTGCTTGCTTCTTCAACTTTGTAAATGGCACTTGAGAGGACAATTTTCATTTAACACCCTGCAAAAGCCATTTTTATTGTGCCCCTGGAAAGAGCAGTGAAGTGCTTAAATCATGACTGAATATAAGAATTGGACCAAAGTCCCTAAAGTGTTCTGAAAAAGTTTAAACTTCACCTCTTTGTGCCTTGATTGTAAAAGTCAGGAAAATAGGAATAACAACACTTTGCTATCTAGCCAAATACCTAATGAATCAGGCTATTCTGGGTGCCTTGGGGGTCTTTACATGAAGAATATTAGTTAATGTACCTATGAAGAAGTATTCAGTAGAGTCTTCTACGTTTATAACCACAATGAAATGAATTAAAATAGTGAATTTTCTACTAGAAGGCTAGAAAAGTACGTAAAAACAGCTTTCCTTATTGAACCACTGTAGTGCCGAGGCAAAGCAAAAGGATGGGGGCGAGTGAAGGGAAGGAGAGAAGGCATTTACCTTGCACCACGGGCAAAGGATACGGTCTAAAGGTTGTATGTCAAGTTAGCAACTCAACCGGCTTTGAAGGAATCATCAATAAAGGTCAAGGGAAAGAAAGTTATGACAGTGAACTTTTAAAATCCCTGACACACTGCTGCAACTCTGGTTTCCATGTGCACTGCTTTGTTATTCATACTAACCCATTAGTCCCTTTCTAGAAAGGTTTATTGATCTACACAGACACTCATTTGTCATGACCTGTGCAGTGTATTAACAGCTGTCCAAGCACTTCAAATGAGCTCAGCAATTTTTTCATGCTTTCAGCCCATGATTTTGTGTATTTTTGTGGTCATGGCTGCATACAGCATATTAGCAGATAGGTTAAAACCTAGGACGAAGTCTGTAACTGGTACCATAGGAAGTGTTGTCGCTCTCGTCTTTTTTTGGGTCCTTTGGCTTTTTTTTGGCCAGCTGATGTCATCTGACTCCTAGCAAGGACAGAGGGGCATCCCATGAGCAGTTGGCTCGAGTGCCTCCCCGTGGATCCTCCCGTCCACGTTGGCTGTTTCCACCTTTCTCCTTGAGCTCTCCACAAGCAAAAGAGCAACTCTGGGAAGAGGGGGAGAGG